TTCAAGCAATGGTGGTGTGCTTCGAAAGGGGGGGCTGAAATACCACTCCATCTCCCAGCCAGAGTTTCTCTGCTAACTCCTTCTGACTCTGACGCCGTAGTGTGAATAGACAGGTTCTCCCCTGATATCATCAAAAATGAGAAGATGAGCAGTGAGTCACTCTCGTGGATTGTTCACACTTAGCTTGCTCCTGGGAGCTTTCCTGTGGCTCCTGGGCCTGTGCCTGCCCCAGGGCAGGAACCCTGCTCCCCACCCCCGACAGGCTCTCCTTTCTTCAAAAGGCAGCAGGAAGCATTGGTGGAGGAGGGGAGAACGATGTGATTTCTTCTGCTTCTGAAAGGTCTGATTTAGCGGGAAACAGACTGAAAACAGGTTCCTGAAGAAAAAAGAAAAAAAAAAAAAAAAAGTGCTTAGTGCTACCAGTTACTAATAAAATAAATGTCACAGCTAGATATTTGAAGCATAAAACCAGGGTACAAACATCTTACAGGACATGTTCATACACCCCTCTGCCTCTGCAATGACTCTATTTAAGCCCCTGTGTTTGAACCCTTGTAACTTGCTAAATGACAAAGGTTGTATGTATTGATTAAAATATGTATATATTTATAGGTCATAATCTTGACTACTTACAAATCTTTGAAAGTAGAAACAAGACAAAATATAAATTACTGGTATGTGCAGGTGGTATTGGCTTTTAGCTAAAACTATGTATTACAAAAAGATGATGCCTGTTGATGTGCCAGATATCACGTAAGTGACCTTGGACAGTAAACTGTAAGCTCACGCTGCGGTGCTAGGCCTTCTTGCTCGCCCATGACTTACCCAACAGCTGCCACATGCTACGTCTTTGCTGTGTTGCCGCAGGCTTTTGGCTGATGCTCTGCCTTCAGTTCAGTCCAGGGAAGAATGAGTAAAGCTCTTGGACAAGCGCTGGGTCTTGGCTGTATTTTTGGGCCAAACCTTGTCTTGGTTAACTTGTGTTGGTGTGATGGGCTGTTCAGGCTATCTGCACTGGCAGATGTTAGATCTGAAATGCTGTTATTTTGGTTGGCATGGTGAATATTTAATTCAGATTGCTCTTGAAAGGATTGCTTTGACAGGGACTTCGTATATTCCCATCTCAAGAATTAGTACTTCACGGTTGGATTTTTTTGCTCTAAAATTCTCAACATCAGACTAAATTTAGTCATGTAGAAATCAATAAATTACTGCCAACTTTAACATAAGGGCAGAGTTAGGTTAATGTTAAATGTTTTTGAACAATCTTACTCATGGTATTTAGGCTCTTCTCCTCTTTAGTTGAGAATGACATGATGAAAAACTTTCCACTGCTTTAAATGTTAAGGAATCTCTGAAAATATTTAGAAGCAATCAATTCAAAATGTTCTATGGTTTGGGTTTTGATATTTTTTTTGAAGTACAGTATGTTCTTTTGCAGATTTTCATCCAAGCTACACGTTCATGTCCCAGAGGCTTGTTTCCATGGTGCATTTGTATTTCTATCACAGAGTATGTCCAGTGACACAAAGATATGAGAGGCAGATCTTGGTGGAGTATTTAGTTTTATTTAAGAGCACTCTACTAAAGGGCAGCTGAAGACGAGCCCTTTGTCTGTCAGAGCATGGAGAAAAAAAAACTGTTCTGTAAGCAGTGCTGGAGCTGGAGCACCATTTTCACATTATTAAGTTGTGTGCAACCAGCTGGGAACTATGTAAAACTCCACTTAGATATTTCCTTTGTCTTAACAGTACATATGAAAATAAGTAGCTTTTGGAGATTTGTTTCATGTATTCCACCTCCTACTAAACTTTTCCATACATTTCTCTCTGCTAACAGAACAGGGCAATAAGCTTACAGAAGTGCAGGTTGGTACCTACTGCTATTTTAATTTAAATGAATATTTCAGGGGGTTCGGAGGAGGGTATATGTTCTCTGTTTTGATGTTCTGTGTATAATAACAAGTTGTAACTTGGTTGTTCAGAAAAATAAACCAGTTCAGTACTGCTACAGCAAAGTCCAAAGTGCCAATAAAACAGCAGGAAGTATTCTTACGGAGGAGGATAACTGTCCTCACACTGCAGGAGTCCTTGGGTTTGAATCTGCTCCCGGGTACTCGCCATGCTCAAGCAGGCTCCAACTGAGCAGGCGGGAGCATTTTCCCTGACTGAATTCTCCTGGTGGCCCAGTATGGCTCGGGGGGAGCAAGAGGTTCTGGTGCTGCTCCCCATGGTGGGAGCGCAGCTGTGGGACAGCCCGTGGGTCTGTGCCCCGTGGAGAAAATGCTCGCAAAAAATGTGCTCCTTTAGCTGCCAAGGCTGGGAGAGACATCCATGGCTCCTCTGGACAGAGCTCCCACTGAAACGTCCTTTGCTGCCTCTGCGGGGTGACTGCCCCTCCGTGGGGTGAGAGCCCGGGCGAGACAGCCCCTGCTCCATCCCTGCCACACCAGTGTCTTGCCAGATTCCCCAGTACTGGCCACCGCAAACCAGAGGCATGGTGAGACAGCTCTGCTAAACGCTGCCCAAGGGACAGAGCGAGCCCCAGCCCTGAGCTCAGCCCTTGCTGCAGTCTATGAGGAACATTTGGCCACGTTGCTTAGCAAGGTGGATGGTCCCCGACTTCTGAGTCATACAGGTGTTTTTTGTATAATGGAGAAGTATTCAGGTGAAAGCACAGGTTTTCCAGGTTTTTTTATATGGTGCTTTTACTGTGGAAATCATTTAAGTTCCTTTTTATTCCGTAGCAGCCTGTTGATGGTGCTCAGCTATAAACTGATTGCGCTTTGCTGTTCATCAGTCTACTAAAATAAAAAACCAAACATGTTTCTGTAGTAATGAAACCCTTGTGTCTGTTCCTGGAGAAGATGAGTTAATTGCCAACCAATAAGCTCATGTCAGAAAGTGGGTGAACCTGGAACAAGATCTGCAGAGTGTGGAAGGGAAGAGAAAGAACAGAAAATGGAAAAAGAACTGTAAGGGATTGATACATTAATTTTTCACAGCTTGCAGAGAAAGCAGAAGAAATGGATTCCTTAAGGTGAAAAGAATGGGCACTTAAATGGCAATGAAATTATTCTGTAAATGCTAGCACTTTCTGCAAGTACCAGACAGTAATCAGATCCATTCAAATATATAAATTCAGAGATTAATAACATGTAAGGCCAGTAGAGACCATTGTAAGTTCTTCTGACCTTCTCCCTCATGTGGGTCATGGAGTACCTTTTATATATATAAATGTGTAAGAATTATCGAGTGCCAGTTCATGGAGCTTGACTTTAGTTTATATGATTTAAAAATCAGACTGGCACCAATCAGGAGTAAGACCATCAAAATTACACTGCTACAAAACCCCATCTTACAGGAAAAATCAGGCGTGCCCTGGTAAATGGCTGGCTTCTGACATTTGGATTGTACTGAGACAGTGCAGTTTGGTTTGCAGTTTTATCTTGTGTGACTCTGGCAATGTGCTAACTTCCCCCAAACTCCCAGGCAATTATTGAACCTTCTGAAAACACACTGGCAGTACTCAGCCATGACCTGCCATTTTTTTGTTTTTCATCCATAAGGCCATGTATTTTTAACCTGGATTTTGCACTGTCCCCTCTGTGGAAATCAAAGAGCCAGATCTCTGCCCAGGACAGAGGTGATGGTGATGATGCCTGTTCCTGTGGCAACCCAGCACAGCCCTGTGCACGCCTATGCAGAAGGTCATTCCCATAGCAAAGGGCTGACGTACAGCTGTACTAATTGGAAACCAGGACTGATTGTGTGGTAGTAGAGTAGGTTGATGGTTGAAGAGAAGTCATGTACTGGGCCATTTTTCCACATCTCATTGACACGGGGCCTTAGATGTTTCTTAAATGAACACCTCCTGGAAGATACGACTGAAGACTCTTATCTCACGGAATCACTCAATAGCACACCTCATTTGTCACCTGAGTAACAACTTATCACAGTGGTTTAGACTTGTGTTGCTTCCATAAGCTGTCCGTGGGAGTTCAGTGAACAGACAAACATAGAAAGCAGTGCCATTATTTCAGCTGCTGTGGAGATGTCCAAGTTATGAGGTAACTTCTGCAGGTGTGTGAAAAAAGGGGAGAGGATGGTATTGAAAATTCCTGGTAGGTGATGGATGTGGTGCTGAAAAACTGCATCTGTTAATACTCATTCATAGTGTTGAAGAAAGATGCTCTTTGTCTATGTAAAGCCAAAGGCATCCCTCATCAGCAGAAGTGGGTAGCCTTCTTTAAGCAAGGACATCCTGGAGCCATTAGACCATGAAGAGGGCACATTGTCATCTTGGTAATCAAACTCAAGGTTCATGTATCCTTTAGAGGAACTACCCTCATTAGGATACTAAAAATCACACCTGTATGTCAAGAAGACCCTTGCCCAGGTGAAGATCCTTCCCCCCGAGCATGTGTAGAAGTATTGTGTCAGCAGTATTATAATCGTAACCACTCATCATAGAGAGGATGGACTTGGAAAATTACTAACTCTGCAAGTTTTGTGTATAGTGCGGCAAGTTCTGTCGGTGTGCTTGATTTGTGGGAAACAACTGAGCACCGAGGCTTGCACAACCCTGAAATAAATAAGCAACGTCTCTCCTGAGTGCGGGGTTATTGCACACTGGGTGATGAATCCGCTTTTCAGATAACAACAGGGTTTTAAAATTTCCCAAGTAGGTGTTTTATAAAACAACATCAGAGAATGAAAAGTTACCATGTTCTGGCTGTGACACGAGCATTTACAGTCCAAAAGGCCTCTCTGGTGCTGAGCCGGGAGCTGGGCCGTGCAGATGGTCGCCCCTGGCCCGGGTTTCATGTTGACAGCTCCGCTTCCCGCCGCGATCTGTGGGCTCGGAGCCGCGGCCGAGCGCGCCCGGGGCTCGGCCTCAACCCGCTGGGGAGGGCGGGGAACGGTCACTATGGAGGGCGGCCTG